AATAATAATAATAATAATAATAATAATAATAATAATAGTGATGTGTGGCACAGGAGAGGTCACCCCCCCAAGTTCTATTTAAAGTATGGATAAACAGGGCAACCAATAATGCTTAAGTGTTTCTCAGAGGCTGATTTTAAACTTGAACATAGATTATAAATGTTTTAATTTTAAAAGCAGATATCATAGTGTCTCTTTATATGGCATCATGATGATAATCCATCATATTCTCAGACAAACCTTGCCCTTTTCTCACTGTGTTATCATTCTTGTATTCTATCTAGCATTTCTACTACCTTAATTTTTCTGTATCACTAACAGTGTGATTTATGCAAGATCACCTCATCATTTTTTTCTTTGCTGTTGGGCGTACATATTTTTCTGCCACCATAAATGCTATTTAATTGAACATTACAGTAGGGAATAACTTGGAGGCAACTGATGGAATCTGCCACAAGTGGGTTCTGTTGAGTTCCAAATATTTATCAAACATTGATTAGCACCTCAGACAAATTTTCAAATTTCTGATGAAGGGAGCTTCACATTTCAGATGCTTATACCAGGGTCCCCATGAGGTGTCCATGGGAACGATGCCAACACCTTTCCTAGCGCCCACAAAGTGTTTTTAGAAAGTGTGCTGGGCCAAATGGGGTTTTTGTCAAGCAGGGCTTCTGACTGGCTATGTAGATTGTTAAAAATTGCTTTGGCACCAGCTGCCACCATAGCACAAGGATCTCCCCATGCGGTGAAACTGTGCGTATGCAAGAAAATATTTCTAAATAATGTGTTCATTTTAAAGGTTTCCTGTTAAAAAGAGCTTCTGCCTGAAATTTTGAAGAGTTACTGTTAAGAGTTATGCCTGCCCTCATTCCCTGACATTTTCTGGTTGGCTCTGCCTCTCGTGACAGCCATTTTGTTATTAGCTCCACAGTCATTTTGTGGTCATGCCCACCACTCTGTCTCAAGGGTGCCCACATGCTCAAAAAAATTGGGGACCCCTGGCTTATACCCTGGAAATCTTGTTTGTCTTTATGGTGCAAATCTTGTAGTTGTTTTCACGTATCTGTAACAGTATTACTTCTTAAGAAGAAGGGGAAGATAAAAACTGTTATTTTACAGTTATACGGCTGAACTTGGTGTGTGTGCAAAATAGTTTCCTCTGTGATTGACATTTGGATCAAGGCAAATGTCTGCAAATTGTTTTGGGGACTTGGGTCTTCACCAAAAAATCAAGCTAATGAGATAGTAAGATTGTGACAGAAATAAAAAATGTAGAACAGGCGTCCTCAGCCTTGCTGTGCTTGTGTGGGTATATTTGGAATTTTATGGGGAAATGGTGTGGAAGAAGCAAATGGGCACCGCTTTGCCCACAGGTGCCATGCTGGGGATCACTAGAGGTTGAAATATTTTTCTCCTAATACTATGGTCCAGGGGTCATTTCATAGAAAAAGAGGTGCAAGAGCTCATTAGCATAACTCATATGCATATGCCACATCCCCTGACATCGCTGGAAGTGTGTCAGAAGGCAATACCACTGCTCAGGCTCCACCCCAAAAATCTCCAGGTATTTCCCAACTCAAAGCTACCTGGAGAAAAACTGCTTCAAAAACACTTGCCTACTTCACAGGGTGTCTGTTGTGGGGAAAGGAAGGGAAGGAGATTGTAAGCCACTCTGAGAGTGAAGGGAGGGGTATAAATCCAATCTCCTCCTCCTCCTCCTCCTCCTCTTCTTCTTCCTCTTCAAGAGGAATGCTCTCAACATATCTAAAAGGCTATCTCTTCCCGTAAGATCCGTTTTGATCTCTTAGATCAACAATCTACCTTGAGATTCAGTCTTACAGCAGAACTCAAAGAAATTCCTTTCTCCAGCTTTTACAATTCTCACTCCCAGTGCTTGCAAGCCTGTTTCTGGCTGTAGTTTTTTTCCTCAGATCTCTTTTTTACCATCCCTTTTCCTCCCTTTCTTTCCTCTTTTTTTTTTTTTCCCTTGTCTAATCAGGAAAAAGGCAGCTGTCAAAGTTAGTGTCAGGTGTTGGGAGATGTTGTGCTTCAGGAATTCCATGACAAAGTATTGTTGTAATTCTAATGCCTATCATTTACAGTCTTGGGGTTTGGGATTTATGTGTTTGAATGAAGTTTTAGTAACCGGTCTCCCCAAAGCTTATAAACGTGTGTGTGTGTGTGTGTACACGGTGCTTTTGCTGGCTTCTCCACACTTCTGTCACTTAAACCTCCATAACTTCTACCAGTTCTTCCTTGCCTCTCATCCCAGTAAATACATTCCCTGTTCCTTAGTCATCTTACAGTTTACTGTAACCCCTAATTTGTGAGGGTTAGGGAGGGGATATGAACCATTTGAAGCTAGTGCTGTTCAGCATGGGGAAAAGTGGTGGAGATCAGCTCCTCTTGGCCTATCATTAGGCACACAGATAATAAGCAGCTGGGTGCAGCTTTGTTTGTTTGTTTTAAATGGGGCCTCCATTGTCCCTTTGTGTGCAACTTAGAAGACAAGTTACTAAAACTTCATTCAGACACATAAATCTCAAACCCCAAGACTGTAAATGAAATGCATTAGAATTACAACAAAACTTTGTCATGGAATTCTTGAGGCACAACATCTCCCAACACCTGACACCCCCAGTCAGGCTAGGGAGGCCGCGGGTGGCTTGCGTACACTCTGAACCTCCCCAGTTCCCAAAAGAAGCCTCACCACCGACTATGTTTAAGACCAGCGCACAGGGGAGCAGCAACAGGCAGCCAAGCGTGACTCTTCCGTTGCTGTCAGTTCATCCTATGGCAGTGGCGGCCGCAGCTGCCCTCTCAGCCACAGCTGCCTGTTTGTGCATGGCTGGCAGGGGTCTGCTGCTCTGGCTGCAGCCGCCGTTATGCATTGGGCCCCCAGCAGGCGGCGCAAGGCCACTTGGTCCAGCCTTGGTTGGAGGGAGGACTATTCTGCCGAGCAGGTGGTAGCGGGCGGCCACGTGCATGCTGAGCCGGCCTCCCAAGGGCCGTGGGTGACGAGAGCAGGTGGATGGGCGGGGGCGCCTTCCATCACTGCCGGAGCAGCGCTCCCCCTCGCTCCGGTTTGAAACGACCCCTGCTATGGTCTACATAATGAATTATTTATGTTGTGGAGAATATGAACATATACAAATAGATTGGTACCCATTGGTAATGAATATGGAAAAGACAGCACATAAAAAGGAGATGCTGAATTATGAGAGCATAGTATTTTTCTTAGTTTGGTGTAGTGGTTAAGTGCGCGGACTCTAATCTGGGGAGAACCGGGTTTGTTTCCCCACTCCTCCACTTGCACCTGGCTGGATGACCTTGGGCAAGCCGTAGTTCTGATAATGGCTGTTCTTGAAAAAAGAGCAGTTTCTGTCAAGAGCTCTCTCAGCCCCACCTACCTCACAGGGTGTCTGTTGTGGGGAGGGGAAGGGAAGGGAAAGGAGTTTGTAAGCCACTCTGAGACACCTTTGGGTAGTGAAGGGCGGGGTATAAATTCAATCTCCTCTTCTTCTTCTGTTCTTAATATTGAGTATAGTTTTAATGGTCACACCAACAGAACACAAATGTAAAGTTTTTAACATTTTCTTACTCTCTTTTGGAATCTAGCAGAAGCCCTTCCTATAAGCAAAAATGTAAAGCAGAATTCTTTCAAATTAATAGTTTTGGTTGGCACTTTGAATAATTTTCCTGTAACTAATAGGTGGTTGGTGCTGTCAGTTTTGACAGTCCTGGTCAACTTTTGGTACAGAGAAGGGGAGGGTGGTTTGGAATCAGTGCTCCCAGCCCCCAACGTGATCTTGTATTTGACTAGAGCTCTGTGCCCCACAGCCCCTCATGGCCCCTTGGCATATGAACCTGCATGATACATGTGATGATGCATGCAGCCATTATATTGTGTCTGTTAAAAATGTAACACACCAAGTGATCTTGAGACATAAACCTAGAAATTTCAGTAATGCAGTTGAGTCCAAAATTCTCTGTTGCTCAAAAGACAGCAGTAGTAGAGAGATAGCCAGTGCGGTTGCTGAGCTTTGGTGTGGCATAAGGCTGCCAAACTCTACGAATGATTACAAAAACGTTGTGGCTCACAGTCAGTTACCCCTCTTCCTCTCTCTGTTGCAAATCGCCCTTTGTTTATGTTAACAGTGGCTTAGGTTTATATCTGCACTGATATTAACCATAGCTAATGCTTAATCATGGTTTGCTTATTCTCTTCATACTTTGATTTCAAACTCTGATTACAAGGAGAACTATGGTTAGTGCCAGTACAGAAGGTGACAATAAGCCATGGTTAAAGGAGGCAGAAATTCATCCCTGAGAAGAGGAAGGACATGGTGTGAGCCTGTGGCCCCCTCGAGATTTCTTGGCCATATGTGAGAGATTAGCAGCACTGCATTTGCTTTCAGGCCTTATGTCAACTGCACTATGGAGTTGGAGTCAGAGGAGAAAAACTGTGGTGAGAGATTCTGCAGAGTTAACTCTTAAATTCGTTTTGTTGGTGGGCAAGGTTAATGTTTATGTTTCTACAGCTGTTTACAGCCAGTTAAAAGAAGTAAATAAGTTCCAACTATTGCTTTTGGCCACAGTTCTAGACAGCCATAGTGTGGATGGGAGAGAAGTACGGAATGTTTTTACTCTTTTGAACGGACTGTGTAAGCCTTTAGTCCATTTAAAATCAGATTGCCCATACAGTTAGCATTCCAGTAGAAACTTCTGAAACCCCTCTAAGCTACAATTGTGCTTGTCTCTTGCCTGTTCTGTGGCTGTCCAGGATTGATGCCTTTAGCCATAGCTCTGTTTTTCCCTGCTGTGAAGTAGGACCTACAGTACAGCAAAGATATATCAAGATACATATTTTCTCCCTAATTTTCGACTTTTCTCCTTTTTCATTTTACCTTGTGCATGATAGAGGAGAGCTGCCAAGCTTGCAAAATGATTAAAATTGCTTTGTGTAATTCTGCTTTTTTGGCTTTTTTGTACCTAATCAGAATTGATGTGACTGAAGTGCAAATCTTCATAATAATCATGCATTTACTGGCAGTGATCGGAGGAACAACGTTTTGGCACACTATGGTAAATCTGTTCACCTTGTATATCACGTGATATATATATATATATATTGTTTTTTAACCTGCCATTTAAAAACTTTTTGTTATTCATATAGAAGAGTACCACTTTCATTCTATTGGAAAAATCTCACCGTTTTCCAGAGCCCTGGCATATTCCCAATGATGAGATTCATTCTTTTGCTGTCATTCATCCAGAAGAACCCCAACCATTCCTTTTGTAGATAAGGCATTATTTTCTGTGCCAGTTTAACAAAATATTCACAACTTGGTGGTACTACATATTTAGTCCCAAATCAGCAAAATGAAGCTGCTTAGATAGATTGGAAAGGCCGTTGTATACCGTTATCTATTGTGAGCCATAAGCAATTTAACAGAATGTCATTAAAATGGTGGTATTAAATTTTATGAAATTGTTTGGCTGCCACAGTTGCTTGAGCATGGTATATGTGTCTACTAAAACATAACATTCTGTTATAACACAACAGCTATGTGTCTTGTATGTAAATTACCATTAAAAGCAAAAGCTAATTGGCTACATCCACTATCTTTGTTGCAATGTAATTATTACAAAAATAAATAATTGATGGGCTTGCAAAGTACTCTCTCTTTAGTAGGAAAAGCAAGTGTTACTTCAGAAAAAGCTGTTCCATGGCTCTAAAGGAAGTTAAAGATTTTTTGAAGTAGAAAATGTGCAAGTAAATTTAAACAGTATGTGCTATTCTTACACCATTTATATTGTGGTGCGCTCCTGACTGCTGTATCTTGATTCAGTGATAGGTTGTTTATTATTTATTTATTTATTTATTTATTTATTTATTACTTTTGACTGGAAGAACCTTATGGGTCATCTCGTATAGAGACAAATATACTACTGGGATTTATGTTATTTAAGAGACTATCTACTCAAACATTCCACTTTTCACTCTCTGAGGCATTTCCACACTTCAGCATTTTCATAATAATTTTGTAAATCTCTTTACAACGATGATCTTGCAATATTTTGTTTGCACATAATGGAAAGAAAGCAGATAGCAGGGGAGTGGGACATAAGCCAGCTGAGCTGCTGTTGCTTTCCATTCCTTTTGTGAAGCTTGATAGAAGTGCACTTCAGCACAGGAGATGGCAAGTGCGCCATCTCCAAAGAACGATGAAATAAATGAATAAATGTTTACAAAATGCTGGATCATGGTGGAAGAGATGCAGTCATGCGGCTTCTGTTTTTAAAAAAACCAACCGGTGAGTGAGTGCGCACACGTTGGAGTTGCACAGTGCTGGGGGTTATAGCCACTCAGGTAGAGTTGCCAGCTCAGGTGGCAAAATTCCTGGAGGTCTTGGGGGTGAAGCCTGGAGAAAGCAGGGTCTGGGGAGGGGAGGAGCCTCGACAAGGCATAATGCCATCCAGTCCATTCTCCAGAGCAGCCATTTTCTCCAAGGGAGCTGATCTCTGTTGTCTGGAGATCTGTTGTAATTCCAGGGGGTCTCCAGGCCCCACCTGCAGGCTGGAAACCCTAAACCACTGTAGAATAAAAGTTCAAAAGTGGTGTGGGTATGGGAGACCTGTGTTGGTATCGCCTTGAAGGAAAACAAATGAACTGTGCACAGGGGTCTTGTTGTAGAAAAAGAGCTGCCGGAGCTCATTAGCATAACTCATTAGCATAACTTATTTGCATATGCCACGCCCCCTGACATCACCAGAAGTGACAGAAGGCCACACCCCCTGACATCACCGGAAGTGTGTCAGAAGGCCCGGCTACTTACCCTCCTGCTTCATCCTCATTCCCAAACGGAATGAGGATCGAAGCAGAGGGCGGGGTAAAGAAGGGGGCGGGGCTTCACCACATGACCGCCCCGCCCCCTAGAGGTTCTCTTCCGGAGCTCCGTACCTGAGAGCCCCCCCCCGACTAGAGCCCTGACTGTGCATAATAGTCAAGAAACAAGTGTCCTGAGCCCACAATTTTGGAGCCCACAAAATTAACTATGTGGTGTGGTGTGTTTTCCTATTATTCATATGTAAGGATTTTTTTTTTTAATCTAGTTGAATCATCATTGTATTAAATGATTTTAAAAAACCGCCCTGAGCCCGTTCGTGGGGAGGGCGGGGTATAAATACAATAAAATAAAATAAATAAATTATTACTGAAAATGAATTCTAGCTACAGATAAGACTTTTGGTAAGTAGTTGGGGGTGAAGTTGCATGGAGGTCTGATAGGCTGGATAGCATATGTTCTGTAAATTAGAAAGGCTATTTGTTCTTTTGTCTTAATATTTATACAGTGTATGAGTATCCTCAGTGTTTTCTGCAGCTATTTTCCATTTTTTCCTTCTGTTTGTAGCTCTTATGATTGTAGCTAAGGTTGAAAAACTTGTTGACAAAGTTCTAAACTTTTGTAAATTAAGCAGTAAATCCAAATTTATGATGTTTCATTTCCCTTAATGTCTAAGCTTATATTAACTTTTTAAAAAAACAAAATCAGTTTTCACATTTGAGTGGATAAATTTTAGAACAAGAAGTCCGTAGAATAAGTATGCTGTGTTTGCCTGTGGTAGTTTGCACTCTTAGGAGTTTGACAGGGACATGCAAATTATGCTTATAGTCAATGGTGATTCAAGACTGGCAAAAGGAAATACTTCGCATAATGCTTTTTGATTGGAGAATTAACTGCAACAAGATATAGTGATGGCCACAAGCATGTGGCTTTAAAACAAACAAGAAAAAATAGATTCATGGAAGACAGTTGAAACAATAACGGTTACTTATGATAATATAACTGCCGTGTTTCAGACAACAGTATACCTCCATTGACAAGATGCTGGGGACACCAAACAGTGAGAGATGTCTAGTCTACACAAGTTTGCTTGTGAGCCTCCGGCATGGGAAATGGATCACTTTTTCATCTGATACTGCAATCTTATGTTCTTATTGATTCTTCCATTTGCTTTACTTCATTTCTAAGTTTGGAATTTGTGGACTATAACCAAACATCATACTCTTTGTACTAACTCGGATTCTTCCGTTTGTTTTCCTCTGACCATATCAAGTCTAGACTTTCATTTTAACTATACATTCTGGGAAAAAAAACTTTAAAAAGGTGGGGGAGCTTTAATAAGAAGGCATGTGTCTTCCGTTTAGTATTATTTACTCTCTCCAGGAGGAACTCAAATGCTGGTATTATTTGTATATGTCACCTTGGACACATACCTCTACCTTTCTGAAAGGTAATGTGAAGAAAAGCTTGTCTCCTCTGTTGTCTCCAGGTAACTTCCAGAAAAGTGGAATGTTTGAGGGTTAAGCTAAATGCTGGAGATGTATGATTGCACGTTACCGGAATTTTTCTAAAACTAAATTGCAGCTACATGTAGGCTTAATTCGGATGGGGACAAAACAAGGGGCTTATTTTGTCACTTCTGCATGCTTTCAGTTATTGAAAATGCCCTCCTTATGCTACTAACCAAGGAAGGGGGAAAAGAAGGGCAAAGTACAAGGACCCATCTTTATTCCCTTATTGGGCTAATAGCAGCACAGGGAAAGCTTCTTTTTGGTAGGAACCCCCCCCCCCCCGAGGTTTTTCCTTCCCCTTGTTTAGCCCTGATCCAAATTGAGGTGACACATGTTGGGAAGATTTATCCACAGATATCCCAGTTTCTTGTCTGTTTTGGCCCTGAGTTTACACAGCAGCTGGAAAAAACATTTCAGGTTGATGGTAACTATGTTCATTTCCCCCCCCCCTCCTGTTAAGATTCCAGTGCTGAACATCCCAGTGAAAATACTTCCAGCCCTTTGTACAGTAGCAGGAACTATATTCTCATGTACAAACTACTTTGGTGTGATCTTCACAGGTGGTGTTGGCAAAAATGGATCAACGATAGCAGTGAGTATTTATTATTGTGTTTTCTTCTTCTTTGAGCAATTCAGGGTTTGGTTTTTCTGCAAGCCTCCAGAGTGCTGATGTATGTTCACATATAGTTCCATTTTATTAGTTTAGCCTTGTACACTGTTTACGAGCCCAAAGAAAATACAGTTCTCATCTGAATGAAACCTGCCAAATAATACATCTGTGATTTTCTGACTTTTTTATTTAGCTTATTTATAGCCCACCTTTCTCACTGAGACTTAAGGCAGATTTAACAGAGCACAGAAAGAGGGAAGAAATAATCATAACATATAAAACACTGATAGAACTAGGACAAAATTGCCTGATTGAATAGTTTCGTGTGTGCCCCATTTCTTAGAGAGAAGACAACTGTTTCTTTGATTCTCTACTCCTTTTGTCCATTTGAGAATTGTGTCATTACTAACAATCTTCCAGAAATGGACCAAAGGTAAAGCCTGTCTTTCTCTTGAGTTCTTTTGGGATAGATCTTCTTGTTTTTAAAATTGGGACTATATGTAGCTAAGACATGCTATTGTTCATCAAAAAAGCAAGCAAAGACATCTTGTGATGTAAAAGAACAATTTGGACTTCCTGTACTTTAAAAATAACATCTGAATCCTAACAGTAGTTCCATTCTAGCCATTTTTTTCCAAGTTGCTTAAAGTCTGAAATTACACATGGGTTGTAAATGCAGCATTGTTTGTGATGTTTGCTTCTATCTCAGAGGCTTCAAACACAAGGTCAGTCAGGTGATGCCCTTCTGTATGCTTTTCAGGTGCCAGATGTGTGGGTTCAACAAGTTTTAATTACAGGGTAACATAAATGATTGTCATCCACATCGTCTGAGCACACCATGTTGGCATTTGTACTTATGTAATGTGCCCTTCTTGATAAAGTAATACCAAGCTCCTTCTTTGCATAGGGAACAAGTGTCCTTTCACCATTTCTTCACATTGGATCAGTCATTGCGTTAGCTGCCATGATCTACAAGAAATCTGCTGTGGAGCTCTTTGAAAAGCACCCTTGTCTCTACATACTAACTTTTGGTTTTGTATCTGCTAAGATAACTAACAAACTGGTGGTAAGTGCCTCATCATCCTTGTATGTTTAATTTTGCCATTAAACATTTACTTCTTTTCTTCCACTGTAAGCACTGATTAACCACACCATCTCAAATGTTAGATTTCTAAAGCAGCTTTTTTCTTTCCCAAGTTTGTGTTGCACATAATGGTACTTCTCACTTGCCTGCCCCAAATACTGTCCTGGCAGCTTGCCCATTGCCCAGTCTATGAAAAGAAATGTGACTGATATTATAATCAAAATTCATTTGCTTGCACACCATAAAACTAAGTAGATTAGCTATAGCTCACTAGAAATACTATAACAGAATATTCATCTGGATTACCTCATTTCTTCCTACAGGTTGCACATATGACTAAAAGTGAAATGCATCTTCATGACACAGCATTCATAGGCCCAGCGCTCTTGTTTCTGGACCAATATTTTAACAGCTTTATTGATGAGTATATTGTACTTTGGATTGCTCTGGTAAGTATTTCCTTATTTTTCTGGCCATGAAAAAAAAAACCCTTTGGGCATTCTTTCCATACATGTGTACAATTTTAAGTTTTGCAACAACAGGTCTCAAGTCAGCCAGAGTGAACTGCACAGAAAACCTTGGCTAGCTTACCCATGTTTGGCAAGGTCCACAACTAGGGCATGCATACCTATCCTTATGCATGCAGAGAGATCATTGGATGAACTGAGTAGCGCTTTTCCTATGCAATCCCAAAGCACGCACCAGATGTGCACAGAGCTCCTAAAGGGACTGCAATGCCTCCCAGTCTCTTAAGATACAGGAATTGTCATTTGGATTACGACAGCTGTATTAAGATGTATTAAGATGTATTAATATTATAGTACATGTCCTTATAGTTCTTAAATAGGTCACTATACAAGAGCAGGCATGATGTAAGTTCAGATGGGGTGGAGAGGCTGGTCAATTTCACTTCTTGTCTTTAAGGAAGGGGTCCCCAACCTTTTTCAGCCTGTGAGCACCTTTAGAATTCTGATGCAGGGTGGTGGGTGCAACTACAATTTGGTTACCATATAGGAGGTGAAGCAGAGCCCACCGCAGAACATCAGGAAGTGAGATTATGCCTCATTCTTGTAGTATGTCTTCAGCATTTCCAGTAGAAACTGTTTAACAGAGTACCTTTTAAAATTAACATATTTAAAATATTTTCTTGTGTATGCATAAAATAAGTATACATATTAGGCTAGCTAAGAAACCCTCATATAGCTGTTATGCATCTTCATTTTGCAGGCACCTTACACACTTATGCAAAAGGGGTGGTGGGAATGCTGCTTCTCCTGGCTATCCCTTTGCATGAGCCCAGCCATGTTTAACCTGCACCATTACCTGTAACAATGACAGTTGGTGCTGAAGGGCTGATGAGAGCTCCTTGTACACGTGTACAGTAAGAGAGAAATTCTGGCCAGATTTTGATAAGAACGTAAATGCTCTTTGTCAACAAAATTTGATGTTAGTGATGTTATCGTCAACTTCCTCCTGAATTATAAAAGCACATTCACATTTGATGACTTCAATAGAAGTTCCTGTTAGGTGCATCATGTATTTTAGCGCTGTAACCCAACTATATTTAGTCAGAATCAAGTCCCACTGTGTGTTTAGAATATCATTCTGCAGTTTGCACAGGTAAAATACAGTATCTGCATTAAACCATAAACATGAAAAACTTTTCAAAAACCCTGGTCCCACCCACTTTCTAAAGACGTTTAGGCATCAGGAAAGGTGCCCACAGAGGTACCATGGCACTAATGGGTACCATACTGGGGACCACAATTGGAATTTAGGAATTCATGATGAAGGAAAGGCACAATACATATCAATTACACAGTCGATATTTGATTATCAGTAAGTAAAATACCCTTAAATGTATTCTGATTTACCACTGCTTAGTCTTTCTTCAGAAAAGTAGATCAGAATTTTGCTATTGAAATAAGACCTGTATTAATGGGTTACTTCACAAAGACCTTTGCTGTAGATAGGTTTAGTTTTGAACATTTTTATGCTGGTCCGTCCTTTTAAGGAGCTCAATGCAACATAGATGTTTCCCCTAAGACAGCATGATTGGCCCAGTATCATCTGGTGGACCAGTGGGTGTTGAACCTGGATTTACTAGTTTTATATGTTTATAATGTGTTTTAAATTTTATTGTATTTATTGAAATGATGGAACCTGCCCTGAGCCCACTCGCGGGATATAAATGCAATAAATAAATAAATAACAGTTGTTGTCATATATATTATCAGTAAAACAGAAAGGATAAAAAATAAAATCTGTTACTTGAAACCCTGGTGTTTTAGAGAATGGGCATGAAACAAATGATTTTGAGGCTTTTACACCTAGATCTTGCATGTGGCTGTGTTCTCCTTTCAGATCTTCTCCCTTTTTGATTTGCTCCGGTACTGTGTCAGCGTGTGCAATCAGATCGCTTCACACCTTCACATCCATGTCTTCAGGATCAAGATCCCTTCCACGCATTCTAATCATCACTAGTTACTTGGTCATCACCACAAATAAGAAATAACTGACAACTATTTTCTACTGGAGAGGATTCAAGCATACTGAGGAGACTATGAAAACGGGAGCAGATAGGAACAAGTCTAATTTATAATAATGTTGTATAACTTCTACTCTTGGTTACTGACAACACTCCTTAGCTAGCCTCCTCCAGTGAAAGGGGAATCCCAAGCACTCTCCAATCAAATGCGCACATTTTCCACTCTGCTGGTTGTGTGCCCTGGAAAGCATGCAGAGAGTAAAGATTTGTCTTTGTAATTACCACAACTACAGAATAAACTCTTGGGGGAAATGGATTCCCAACAACAGAGATTTCTAATAAAGTGTAATTACAAGCTAAGACAATTTGCTTTCTAATATTAATCATCTCTTAGTAAGATACTCATTTAGTACCCACCCAGAATTTATTTACTAAAGAGTTGAGCTTGTAACACACAGATATCCCACTAGGACTTTGGGCTAGAACATCTTGGACTTTTGAGTCTGGACTGTGATCTTGTCATTCACCTGTTGTTGAGGACTGAGAGAGATTTTTAAAAGCTCAAAGTTCTTAGGCACGTTATTCCCGTTGACTCTGGAAGTTGGGTGTATACAAGTGCCATCTTCGGAAGCAATCCACTGTGGCTGGACAGGCTCTGTTCATTTCAATAGGAGTGGTGTGGGTCTGCTGGAGGCAAATGGCTCACACCCACTGAGCTTGATGAGTTGCACCTTTTGTCTTTAAAATCCACCCCCAGTGCTCTGTGAGGTGGGGGGGTGGGGTGATTGTCAGCATGCAGTATAGTGTGGTATCTGTCAGTTTATTTGATTTTTTTTTAAGAATAAAAATTTAAAGAATTTAATTCTCAGTTTCTTCAGTGGAAAGCATATACAAAAATTTACAGTTACTTTTTTTTGTATAAAATTTATGCAAAAAAGTTATTTCTGCTCTTTAATAAATAAGAAAATTCTCATAGCTATGACCGTTCATGTGCTGTTTTGAGCCATTCTA